TTTTTTTAAAGATTTTATTTATTCATGAGAGACAGAGAGAGAGAGAAGCAGAGGGAGAAGCAGGCTCCCAAGGAGTAGGGAGCCCGATGTGGGACTCGATCCCAGGACCCTGGGATCATGACCTGAGCCGAAGGCAGACGCTTAACCATCTGAGCCACCCAGGCGCCCTATTTTTTTCATTTCCTTAAGTGTGGAGAATTATCTCTGAAGATCTGAATCATGTGCCCTTGCTGGAATATTAAAATATAGATTCCACAAATGGGGGAATGTGGAAATGACATTTAAAGGACATTGTAGAGCATGAGTAAATTCATAAAAATGTGAATGAGCTTGTCAAAATCATGGAACTAAAAGCTGAATTTGATAATGCACTAGAACATGAGTAAGGAACACAGGACAAACTTGTGTTATTAATGGTCCTGTATATTAAGAGTTTTTGCTTTATCTAGGAAATGGGCCATTATTTGGATGACTTAAATATGTTGCTTACATGATCAGCTTTCAATTTTTAAACCATCAGTCTGGGAATAATGAATGCATCAGATTAGGGACAAGTGTCTTCTTTATTTATCCACTACTTTGTTCATCACAACATCTGGCATAAGATTTTATTTTCATGATTGGTTCTCAATTCTGATCCAGCCATAACCAAACATCTTTTCTGCCTATTTATAACTTCATACTAAAGTAAGAATTTTTTTTAAGGAAGGGTCTTTTAGCCTTAAAAACTGAGATGATTATTTTTTTCTGTGGTCATAGGTTGAATTTTTTAATAACCTGTGTTTTGATCTATATTTAAATGTCACAGTCTGGATTGAATGTTTTTTCTGGAAGCAGAGACATATGTGAAGGCTTCAGGTTTCTTATTTCTTTACTTGTTCTTTCTGGATTTCATAAAAAAGGCATAAATGAGCAATGAAATAACTGGGTTGGAATGTGATAGGATATTGCACTACCTTTGTTTTTAAAGGTCACATATTGTACTTAAAAATACGTGTGGCAAATTGCTGTGTAAAATTCAGGTTAAGAAAGGATATTAAATACAAAAACACTCTCTTTAATCTGAAAAGTCCTGAAGAGTGTAAATTTTTAATTAAATAAAAATTAATTATGAAGTATTTTAATATGCAATTTAGGCATTAAATAAAATTAGCATTTTTTCTTCCTTAAGTATGTGTTATCAAGTTTCAGGAATGTTAAAAAGTTCTCTGATGATTTAATCTGAAATCATTTCTACAGCAAAATTCATAAATAATAAATATTATCTTATTAATCCATATTTTAGTTTAGCTGGGTCTCAGAGCAAGTTAGTTCCTCAGGGAATGCGGTGTTCTTTATAAAAGAAGGTGATGAGATGTAATCTCCAAGGAATTAAATTGTGAAAACAATCTTGGTATTGTACATGCTAATATAAATCTGTTATTCCCTTTCCGCATCTATCACAACACATTTTAAATTGTGGCTGATCTCGTATGCAAATAGCTGTCTTATTAGAAATTGCGGCTCTATGTGCTAATGTCTCTCTGGATTTCTTGGGAGTTTGCTATCTAACCATCAAAGCAATAGAAATGAATGATGATTACTGCAAGGCTTTGAAGAACAAAGAAAAGTCAGAACATTTTAGAGGTTCTAGATGTCTGAGGCACTGACAGTTTGCACCATACACATGAATGGGAATCTCTTTAGATCATTTAAAATAGCCTCAATGTGTTTATTAGGAAAGTAAAATATTTTCTACCTTCTTGTGTTTGTTACAGCTAATAAAATGTAAGGTATTTGTGCAAGGGTGTGTTCTTTAGATTTTTTTTGTTTCAACATTTGGTAAAATTTTATTTTGCTTAAAGAATAGAATAGAATAAATAAAGAATGGAGTAGAATAATTTCAGAGAATAAAGTTTTAATTTTTGAAATTTTGGTTAAGGATTATCAGTCACCAAAGTCATTGGGAACAAAAATTTAAAGCTAGTTCTTCTTTAATGTATCTCTTAGGTTGAAGTTCTTTTAAAGATTTTATATTCACAGGTTTTATACATATAAAATGTATCAATTCATAGAGTATAGGCCTAGGTTCTTTAGCTTTTTTTGGTATCACTTTGTTCATTTAAAGTACATTTTAAAATAAGTAAAATCTAATTCCTTTTGTTGAAAAGATATTCTCTATGGATCCCTTCCTTTTTTATTTACAACAGGTAAGGAATGAATAAAATACTGGCTTTTAAAGTGTTATCTCTGTTAGGATGCTAGTTTAAATGACCAAGCAGGAATTGTAGGAAGCATAGTGAGTGACTGTTTTGGTAGGTGGCCTTAGTATTTTGCGTTTTAAAAATTTAAGCTATTCCATAAAGGCAACAGACAAAACTAAATTGAAGAGGGAATAATGTCTGTGTATTTATTTATTTAAACTAACTTCTTTCCTAAAATGGTTATATTTTTTCTGGCTCCACATAATCAAGATTAAAATAACTTGACTCCTCTTTACAATTAGTAAATGCAAAACACTATGCAAATGGATTGCTATATTAATAAATTATAACCTATCTATTGATATTTTTATGATGCTTGTATTAATGTTCTGAATAATAACAAGTGAGAATATAGGGTTAGGTGATGTCTTGGTTTCATTTCTGAAATTTTAAGGTTATATTATCTTAGATGTGATAGCTACATGGTTTATGAGAGGTGAAGATTTAATTTATTTGACTTTGTCTTACTTTGCACATTCTCAAATATTACTGTAATATTAAATCTGAAGATTATTATGTATAGAAAAATGGATTTTTAGCAGAACTTATAATTTTTTTACACATAAGTAGTAATTATTAATTTGGGGATGCCTTTTACTGTGTTGGGTGGTATCATTGTTAGGATTGTTCTTTGTGACCATATATATAAATAAACAATACAGTTTGATCTGAACAGATTTCAAAGACATTTGGCATTTGAGAACCTTAATATTGTTCTTTAGGAAAATTACAGTTTAATAATTTATATGGAGACATCTATACATACTTCTTTTAGTTAGGGTGGTACTACCTACTGTAACAAACAAATATAAAGTGTATAGAGGCTTAGATGCTACAAGTTAATTCTTGTTCTCACAGCAGTGTGAAAGAGAAAAACAAGTTGGTTGAGTAGGTTTCTTTTGTGTAGTCATTCAGGATCCAGGAAGTCACAGGCTCTGCCATCCTCATCACATTTCCAGCATCACTCTGGGGGCCATTTCCATTTTAGCCAGATGAATGAGTACATATGGAAAGTTTTTATAGGTTAGTTCTGGAAGTAGCAAACACTAATTTATTCATATTCTGTTGGCGGAAATTCAATCACATGCCCACAGCTAATATAGAAGGAGGCTGGAAAAGTTGTTAGGTGAGCTCAGGAAACAAAACAAAACAAAACAAAAAACAAAACGAAGGAGAATATGTATTTTAGTAAGCAGCCAGCAATTTTTCCTACAATCCACCTTTCTGGTCATGAAATAGCCTTGCATATCCTTTTTCCTGACTCTTTAGTAGGAAGATCCTAAAGTTCCCAGCTTACTGCATCCAGGACAAAGCCAAGGATCTCAAGCCAGTGCATAGTGCTCCCTTTTAGGTTGGAATATGCTTCCTTGAAGTTTACAGACTATAAGATTTTCCTAATGGTGAAGCAGAAGGTAACTGCTTCATATCTCCTATAATCAGTCCCATTTAGAAAGGGAAGGATGGGAAGAATGGGAAACATACAGGAAGCACTGATCCAGTATGATAATGAAACCTGCTGTTCGTGAGGCCACTGAGAAGGCTCATTGTACTGACAGAAGTTTCTTCCTTGAGTCTAATTATGGTTTTTTAGAGAAGTTCCCTTGTCCATTGTTCTTTATGGCCTTCCCTTCTGGATGGTTCTCCTTTCTGGTCACATATGAAATGGATGTTCGAAATCTACAGAGTTTGCCTTCCTTGGGGGCTGCAATCTGCTGGTTTAAGTTTAGAGGTCCAAGGCTTGGTTTTCATTCACATACTTTTTTAGACAAAGTTGATTTCCTTGTAAATATAATTCCCTCAGATTTTATACCCTTCTTACTATTTCTGCTTAGTTCCATGTGACCGTGCAATCTCTGCCACATATATTTTTTTTAAAGTTTTTATTTAAATTTCAGTTCGTTGGCAGTGTAATATTAGTTTCAGGTGAACAATACAGTAATTCAGCCCTTCCATACAACACCCGGTGCTCATCACAAGTGCACTCCTTAATCCCCATCACCTATTTCACCCATCCCCCCACCCACCTCTCCTCTGGGAACCATCAGTGGGTTCTCTATAGTTCAGAGTCTGTTGCTTGGTTTGCCTCTCTCTCCTGTCCTTTTTTCCCCTTTGCTTGTTTTGTTTCTTAAATTCCACATATGTCTGCCACATATTTAAATTCAATAAAATAATAAGATTTGAAAGATGTGTTGTGGATTAAATCAAATAGTGCATATAATGTAGTAAGCATGAGAATATTAGTAAATGGTAGTAATTTATACTGTTTACAGAAGAAGAGACAGAACTAGAACTCAAATTTATGCACTTTTGTTACCTATGTCATGCTTTTTAAAACAAGATTCAAAGTATCTGAGATTCAAACTTTAGCCTTTTTGTGTAACAGAATAGGTAATTGGAAAGAAACGTACTGCCAAGAGCATGCCTACAACCCCAACCCATCTGAATAAATGGTACATGATCTTCACATTTACAGATAATACTCTCTAACAGTTTGGTTTAATTGAGTATTGATAGTACTTGATAAAATGAATGTTACCAAGAACAAATAATTGGGAAATTTAATTACCAGCAATTGTATCCTTGGTAATTTATTTGAAAGAATTTTGTGTTCTTTACTGATATCTAATGGGAATAAGTCAAAGACATTTTTACCCATTGCTTTAAAAATGAATTTTATGGAATAAATTATTCCTGAAGTTTGTAGATAGTCCTTTTGATGTTTTAGGACTTCATCATAATTATTTTCTTTCTTTGCAGCAGGCATTTTGGAGATCAAAGATGGGTAGAAAAGATGCCTCCACTATAAAACTTCCTGTTGATCAGTACAGAAAGCAAATTGGTAAGCAATGAATTCCCTTTGATACATTCCTGTGAATTAAGATAAAGAAAAAAGCAATTATGTGTGATATTAAGAAAATAGCTTTTCCTTAATACATACGATACACAGAATATGAATAATGAAGGACTATATATTTTTAAAGAGCAAAAAATAAGTGTAGCCTACTTACCAATGGAGAAATACACGTTGTGTACTTGTGATTTTCAAAGCTCTTATAATTTTTATGAATTCAATAAAAGCAAAAATACATTTTATTATTTTTCTTAAGGCTAGTTGCATTTATATGGTAAATATTTTTAGTGTTATCTATTAAATCATTTATTTTTATCCATGTAAAAACTTTTAATTTTGTTGACTCAATGACAATAATTTGATAAGCCTGAAATTCTTCTTTAAAATTTTACTTTAATAAAATGGTGGACTACAGAAAAGTCCACTAGTCAATGTACAAAAATACAGGAAACTTACCTATTTTATACTATGCTCTAAGTACAGGATTTTCTACCCATTTTTTTCAAGGTTACATGGAGTATTTATAAAAAATTACCCACATACAGAGTTACAAACCAAGTCCCCCCAATTTTAAAGAATCTGTATCCTAGAACTACAACTTTGAGCAAAGGTTAGTAAATTAGAAATCGGTTAGAAGCAAAAAAGGTAACTTCCCTTTCCCATCCTGTACCCTCTCTTTTTACATGTTCCTACTCATTCCCACCCATTCCCACTTTTTTGGAAATAAAAAAATAACAATTAATAAAAAACCTCTTCTAAAACACTGAAGGATAAACAGAGAAGTTACAATAGAAGTCAGAAAAAAAGTAGAAATTATTGATACCAAGAGTATATACCTATTTTATAAATGTGATATATAAGGTACACTCCATAAAGATATTTCTGTAAAACAAAAGAGATGCAAAATGAAAAGAATATTTAGAATATATATAACCAATTAAAGATTTATATATATTTAGAAAAATAAAGTCCTACTATAAATAAATAAGGTAGTCTGGAAACCCAATAGTAAAATGGGTACAAAACATGAAGAGGCAATTCATGAAAGAGGAACTCTGAATAAACAAAATAAAAACAAAACAAACAACTATTACAATAAAAAAATGAAATCAAAAGAGCCTTACAAAATGATCTAACTCATCTAACTGGTAGTCAGATAAAAGCAAATTAAAAAAAAGTATTTCTAACTGATTAAATTTCCTGAGGGATGGTTTATGATGTTTGATATTTTTTTGGTATATTCCACCTTCCTTCACTTATAGGATACCTGATGAATAAATAGTGTGGATTGTTATGTTATTTATGTGTTTAAACAGGACTGACTTATCAGATTAAAGCCTCTGATCAAATGGGATATGCTAAGCACGTAAGAATAGCCACATCAGGGATCAGTTCACAATTCAACTCTTAAATATACAATTCTTAGAATTTTGACAAGCGTAAATACCTGTGTAACCGGAAACACCAATCAAAATAGAAACATTTCCATTTTCTCAGGTAATTCTTCATATCTGCTTCCAGTCAGTCTCTACCTACCTCCATATGCAACCACTGTTCTGATTTCTACCACCATAGATGAATTTTTTCTAAAAAAAAAAAAAGCCCTGCAAAGTTTGTTATTGAAATTTTTATCTAATAATCAATTTTGGAGAACAGACATTAAGATCTAAAGTCTTCTGTATTATAAACATGGCATATCTTTTATTTAGTTCTATTCATATTTATTAGAGCCAAGGAAGGGTAAGACAAAGTAATATAATTGTGAGGCCTCAGCCCTGTTCTTATACTAAATTGTTTAGAGGGTGATGTGATATGCATTATATTCCCATACAAAGTTCTCTTTCCTATTTTACTTCCTCTTGAAAATACTAGCTCCACAAAATCCACCTGTCTCACAAGATTCTTTGGAGAGTCATGAGAAGTGTCAGACCAGTTTGTAAACTACAGTGTTGCATGGATATGAGTTATCCTGTGTGTACTTTGCAAATACAGTAATCATAATCTAACACAATATATTAAAAGTAAAAGAGTGATGGTATACTTTGTTCACTACTTTTAAGGATAATGCACTGCAGTCTTAAGGTTCTTATGCATATACTATAGAATATTATGATATATGTAAGGTTTTGTAAAGACAGAGAAATGAAATAGAAAAGATATTGACTAGTTACTTAATACAAACTAACTAATTAAGATATTAACTAATTCAAGGATTTTCTCAAGGAAGCATTATCTGATTTTCCGTATCAGAGTTAAAAAGTACCACAAGCCTGAACTCATACTAATGATGATAGATCTTAAATGGAGTCCTATGCAGATGTTTTGCAATCTGATAAAAAATGTGAGGAGGGAATAAATCAGCCATAATTATCTTGAAGAGTTGCCTCAGTATTGGTGGTAAAAAAAAA